TATTGATATATATAAATCATAAAAAAAATATTTAGTATCCAATTATAACATATTTTATAATTATTATATTATACTTATTATAATTATTTATATGTTATATATATTATTATATCATATATATAATATATATATAAAAATAATATAATATATATATATATATACATATATACAGTATATATAGTATCTTAATATATTAATATATTTATAACTTAATCTAAGACTGATGATAGGAATTTGGATATATTCGAAATAGCTGTATGGTCAGCCAAAAATTGAATTAATTAAAATAATATAAAACAAATTTTTGTTGTTGTGGTTCAAAAATATCTTTTTAACTTATCTTTTTAACTTAATTTAAATTAATGATTCAAATTTAAAATATGCAAAATTTCATTAGCTAGTTTGGGGCAGATAATAGAAGACATATAAGAGTATAATAATGAGGATCGTTTAAGATTTGAATATAACTCTTAATAGTTCTAATGCAAAACAACTTTGTTACACTTATTTCTAATTATGTAATTTAACGTTTATTTTATATACTGTTATGTTTTAAGCTTATATAAAGGTAGCACCAAATAATGAATTTTTATAGGCAAATAAGTAACTGATGGCTCGACTTTAAGTTTACTTAATTAATTACTTAAATAATAGTTTACTTACTTACTTACTATGCCATTACAAATGTGAGTCATCCTTGACCGCAGTCAATAGCCATATCCAGCTAGCCCCAACAGTGATTCGCTATTCCCTGTTAATATTAACGAGTAAGTTTTATGTGATTAATCACATGATTCTTAAACCGAAGATACGGAAGTCTTGTACATATTTCGTTTATTACAAGAGAATTAATACCGAAATAATTTGACCCATTTCCACGATATGACCAATAGAGCAAAACCGCTGCATTTTTATATGCTTAACTATGTCACTGTCGCGATGTAAGTTATACACTTCATCATACTAAATAATACAATAGTTATTGCCAATAATGCTAATAATGTTTGTTGTTCTACAAGATTTTATATCCTAAGCAGGTTAGGCATGATAAAAGATTTATAGATTATGACTTTTATTTGTCCAAAGAGAGCTTTATTTTTCAATTGTCTATTAAGCTAGAAATGATATCTATTAGCAATAGCGATTCTTCGTTAAATTTCTATGATGAGATTATATTTAACATTTATGTTGGTTCCGAAATAAACAAAAAATTTAGCAAATTCGAACTTTTTGTTGTTAATAGCGACATTGATTCCAAGACACTCAGCAGATTCAGTTATTGACAGAAAGTACTTCGCCGAAATACGTAAACGTAAGTACGGTTGGTTGGGACACACGCTGAGAAAAAGATACAACAAAGTACCTCATGCTGTACTACATTGAAACTCACAAGGTGTAAGAAGTAGAGGCAGACCGAAATTAACTTGACGGAGAACAGTGGACCAGGAACCATGAAAGTCGATTGGTGAAAATCGCGTAATTGCGCTCAACAGAAATAATTGGAGATGCTATGTGAATCTACTTTGTGAATAGATAATGTTTATAATTTATTCAACTGTAAATATATTAATAATGATAATATTAAAATTCGAACTGTTTTACTTTTAAAATATGTTACTCGTATAATCAGTCCTAAAATTGAATAAATCAAACGATGAGGAGTTATACTGTCTTAAACCTCGTTCGGTACCGAACGGCTTGAAGAGATTTTTACCAATTCTATCGGAATGGATGGTGCTACCAAACAATGATACAACGGAATGGATGGAATCGATTAGCATGAGCATCCCCACAATCATCCAATTTCATGGCCGTATCTTTATTGTTTTTTTCAACACCTTCAATTCATATGCCTATGTCTTCATTTCTGGTACTATATGGCGCTTTTAGCATATAACTTTAAGTAAAATTCTGCAATATTTTATAGTTTTCTTAATGTTGGACAAATCAGTATAGTCATAAGCTAAAAAGGCCATAGAGCATTTACCTTTGAATATTTGTTTATAAAGTAGAGTTTAAAGCTTTTTAATTGAAAATCCAGGAAGTAAATTTTACAAATATTTTACATATACAAGGTAACAAATAACCTTAACGTATAGCACATTTTTCCATTCATAAAAATATATAGACACGTTATAACTATATGTATATATATTTAAAAAAAAATTAATAAAAAATCATTTTTTTTTATTGCACTAAGTTTAAGGAAAGTGAAAGTTTAATGTGGCAATCAAAATTTTTCATACTTGTTTTTTACAAAATGATGAACTTTATATTACGTATGATAATATTAGCTACAGTTTAATATAAAATTCGTTTCATAAACTACATATCATAAGTTATCTCAATAATCTCTTATAAGTAATAAATAAATTTGTATGACATTCAGCGGTCTTTTACTTTTGATATATCTGAAGAGTTTTATTATATTTTGTTAATAACTTATTTAATTTTCACATCATAATAATGTCAGGGATAATGTATGAGATCATATTTTGATTTTTTATTACATAGTGTTATTACAAAATTACAAAAAAAAATATTTGGTATGTATACATATATGAGATGGAAACAAAATTAATATTTCTTTTTCAATTTAGTAAATATATGTTATAACAAATATCCCATTTCAAAGAACAAACTATGGTTTAATTTATTTCAATATTTAAAATAATCACAAGTTTTTATATATAGTGCCCCTAAGAAGTTTCAAATCACTCTATTTTGATCCGAAACCAAATTTATTTAGATTTCTGTCACAAAACTTTACTGCTTCAAAATTAATTTTTTATTTATAAAAAAATTTAGAAATTTTTTTTAATTTATTTGAAAAATTTGTTGTAATTTCTTTATTATAAAGATAATAATTTATAGTTTCCGTAGTTATCATATATTTTTTCTAAACAGTTTTGAGTCCATTGTTAACGATTGTTATAAAAAGCAGTATATAAGTAGAACGTCGAATACTTTTTGCCCAACGTATATATAAAATATCAAAGGTGTACGCTTGACAAGTTTTTAAATTAATTTAATGAATAATAGAAGACAGTAATACAGATACACAACTTGTTTTATTTAAAACATTCACGTTCAAAGTATTGTACTAAAATATTAATATTTGTCCACCAAAAACCAAATAAAAATAAATCGACTTTAAATTTTAAACGCATTTCATTCACACTTTTAACGGTGATTTGGTTTAAAATTTTATATAAAGTTGTTGTAATTTGTTTTAAACAAACTCATTACTATGCTTATAACGGAAAATTATTTAATTTTTTTTAAATATGTACATATATAAATGTATAAATTAAGTAAATATTTAGTTAAAAATGCAGTAACTTGTGAAATTTTGCAATAAATGATTTTAGTTCAAGGGCCGATATTCTGATTCCATTCAGTAGTTGAAAAAAAAATTTAAATAAATATCCATCACTAAAGAAATTTAAGATAATTCAGTTTAGTACACGGTGACTGTGTACTAGCACTAAGGTTTAACTCGCACAAAGACATAGTCTAAGAACACTCTTTAAAAAATGATTTATGGTTTTTTGATAGAAAAAAGACTTCAAACACTACTTAAATTCACTAAAGTACTTACTACGACATCTACATAGATATCTAGTCCCGCTAGAGACCAATAGGTCTATGCATGACTTACAGTCAGCCAGATTAACCTAATCGTACCTATTACTGTTATGACAGTTAAGAATGTAGCAGGTATTAGGAGTGGCAGGTACATGTATCTCATATCTATGTGCTGTAATATCATTAGGAAATTTAGGAATGGGGTTTCAAGTATTTCTTAAATTCGCTAAAGTTCTTACTAGAGTATCTACATAAAAATTTGATTTTACCTGATATCGCTAGAGAACAATAAGTCCATGTCAGACAGATTAATCTCATCGAATTTATTACTATTATGACAGTTCACAATGTAGAAGGTATTGGGAGTCCCATACCTATTTGTTGCAATTCCATTTGGATATTTAAGTCACCTTTCTTTAAAAAATACTTGTTGATTCTTTCTTAGAAATGTTGCTTAAAATATTCCTTAGATTTGCAAAAAGTTACCATAGTACAATATATACACAAAAATTTTAATGTACCTGATAACGATAGATAACAATAAGTCCATGCCTATGTATTGTTATTCCATGGAGGTATTTAAGTCAGCTGCAAAGTCATCTTGAATAAACTATCTACTTGCAATAGCAGAACTTATAAAGTAAATAGTCAATTAATTATTAAGCCGTTGCCAATGGGCCAAAGTAAGAATCTCTTAAAGACTTCACTCTTTGTCTGGACAACGCTAAATACTACAATAAGAAGTGTTCAGTGGTTTTTTCTATATATCCTCATTTTGTCACCTTTCTATTTCCTATTTTCGATAGCACCCAATGTAGTCACCTATATAGCTACCAAATAACAAATATATTATGTATTTGTTTTAAATATAGCTATCAAGGTTATATCATCCGCTGCGCCTTCAATTTTTTTTAATTACATTAATTTAAACATTAAATTGTAAGCCAAATTTATTGTATAAAAATTAAAATTTTTACATTTTTATGAGATTAGAATTTTCGCATATAAACTTAATCTTAACATATTGCATTTACATCTCTTAAAAACTAAATTAACCAAAGATGAAACGAATAAGTTTATATTTTGGCAACTAAAATAAGATGATAGTGACATCATTGACAGTAGATTATATGCAAAAATGTATTATAACTGATTTTTATGTAGATTTATAACCTTAGCCGAATTGATAAAAAAGATATTCTGAGAAGACGTTTATTTAACTCAACAAGCCTTTCATGTTTGAGAAACAAGTTTAGTTTTATTTTCAGTAGAAACACTTGATTTCAAAACTTGACTTTAAAGTTTATGCACTCATATAAAACATAACATAAATAAATTATAATTTCAAATAAACTTTTTTAATACTATTTAATACTTATTTAATAATGTATACATATACGTATATTTTTTAGATGTCCTATTTGTACTCAACATTTGCACAATTGGTGAGTGTGCATTGCAAAGCCACTGCTGTCTCATCCATTGAACCTGTAAACCAGTGTAAAAGAAATCTACTATCTTATGGATATGAAAAGCTTCAAACATTCACTGATGGACAATTGGATGCACTAGATCCATATCAGAGAGGAGCTAATGAATTAAGTAAATAATAATTTTGTTAATATGCATTAATTTAAAAACATAATTAGTATATAAAAACTTTTATATACTAATTTTTCAAACGTAATTTTTAACAACTAAATTAAATGTTTCCGTTACTATTTATTATTAAAAAATTAATTTAGCTTGTTTATCAACATACACATTTTATCTAAAGTTTTTGTAAAAACGTGACTTTATAAGAAATTCTAAAGCGACTTAAGATTTATTCTTAAAATGTAAAATTTGTTTTCAATTCGAATGTCGGTTATCAATATAAAATAATCTGCACAGCTGCTTTAACTTCCGTTTATAATATTCTTTATATTATTAAACCAATAATTATATATATATACATATATATATATATATATGTGGAAGTTTATATATGTATACCATGTATACTATACATTACAATTCATTTGTTACTTATAAAATATTTACACATTTTTACGACAACTTCTTAGTTGAAACTAAAAGAATATTGTTTTTAATTTTAGTATGGTCTTCCATAATGCGTGATCATCCAAGTTCAACATTGATCACTACAAGAAAACCAACTGTAGTTGCAACTCCACCAGGTTCATCTTTAATCGTTATAACACATCAAAAACCTGTAAGCAAATCATCAGCTCCTACTTCCACAGCCGCTACAAATCCTGTATACCAATATCCAAAGAATCCTTTATTTGATAGTGATGTAGAACATAAACATAAATATGCAATGGACATGGACATTGCATATGGATACCCCTCCAAGCCAGTCCATCCACAAGTTGAAACTTTTGATGTCAACGATAAGAGAAATACTCAACAAAAAACGTACTTAACAGGTCCATTAGTATTTCGAGTACGTCCCGATGGCACCCCAGTGGAAGAAGATCAATATAATCCCTTACCTAAAGATGATGATTTGGAAGTTTTAAGACCACTAAACAGTAATACCAACAACAATAGGCTCACAACGAAACATCATAAGATTGCGACAATCAGCGCATTAAAGGAGCAACGTTTAGCTAATTTGGCATTACAGAAGCAACAAGAACAGTTGCGTACAAGGCGTCATTATAAAATCAATCCACCAGTGCAAATATCTGGTAATGGGTACTATTATGGAAAAGGACAGGTGTAAATTTATTAAAGCAGTCAAATATGCAGTATGGTATATGCAGTGCATATGTTGTAGCGTGCTTTGTCGATTAATTATAAAAAAGAAACGCGAAGAATAGAAGGGACCCAGATACAACTCTTAAACTTTAATAAAAAAAATATTTTTTTTTATTGTTAAAAGCCCCAAATCAGTTCTTTCTGCGATCATGATTAATAATTTAAATAATATCATAATATATGTATTTAGAAACATAAAAATATACATATATATATATATTTAATTGTATTTACAAGTTCACATTACTTGTGTGTATGTATTTTTTTGTATGCTTGTGTATTTATATGTATTTTTTGTATATATATAAATATTTTTATAGAAGCATTCTAGCTTTTATGTGAAACTCATGGAAAATCATACTTTATTATTGGAATCAACTATTTCATGAATAAAGCAATCTTTACATTTTTTTATAACTATTTTTTAAATTTTAAACTATTTATTATATTCTTAAGTTTTATAAATTTGAAATTTGTTTACTGACTGTATGAAATTTTATACTTTTTAAAATAAGTTAAACATATTTTATATTTTTAGATATAAAATTAATAAAAAATATGTATTTTTAATATAGTTTGTTTTAATTTTTTTAAGATAAAATTAGATTACTTTTGCATTGACCATAAATGATAAAACTATTAAATGTGTTCTATGTAAGTGTATCAAAAATAATATAATTTATATCACAAGGAATTGAAGTTCCTAAAAGGTTTTTCTAATAAATCATAAAACTAAAACATGGAAACAGGGTAAGTTTCCACGAAGATAGTTGTAACTACATTATTTCTTATTTGCTAACCATATACGAAATAATAAATTTCAGATATTTTAGATTAGGATAGGTTGAAATTGCAGCTTTGTTTGAGATATTTTACTTTCAGAAAATTTTTTTATCAATAAATCCAAGCAAATACAATTTCATTTTCGGCAGATATTTTCTATGAATTCTACATGATATTAATAACCAAATTAATACATTCTTTTACTTGATTTAAATATTCAATCAGTTCAAAAAAATCGAGACTAGTTTACCCATATACAGAAAGATAAACCAACATCGTTGAATGAATCACCATTCCATAGTGATGATAAATAAATAGTGATGAGGTAAAATCTCTTCACTTCATTATAAACTGCTTGGTAAACTACAAATAAATATATTAAACTGTTTCAATAATAAGTCAGAATAGCTTCGATATGCTTAAGCCATGCATTTAAATTTAATTTAGTAAGGTTAATACTATATTAATCAAGTATGAGATAAGTTTATGATTTAGAAATAAGTGTACTGCATGATCGACTTTGATAAACTTGAACTAGAACTTTTAATTCATACAAAGTTAAAAAATATTTAAAATACTTCAAGGCGATGATGTTGCCGATAATGGTTTTCTCAAAAATTGTTTATTTGTAACATTCAGGTTCTTCATCACACCCTGCTTTATTAGATATAGTTATCTAATAGTTAAAGAAATAACACGCATTAATTGAATACTACTATTAAGAATATACCAAGGTTGTTTAACAGCCTTATATATGCAGCTCAACTATTATATAGTGGTATATTATATAATATATAACTATTATACTATTATATTTATCAAAACATTGTAAATTTCTCCCAATCATATACAAAAGACCAAACAAATAACAACAAATTGTGGAAATATTGCGAAATTATAAAATTACAAATATTAAATATTTAATGCAATTTAAATTGCTCACGACTTTTAAATAATGAGATTTAAAAATACAATAAAACATAATAATAAAAATATTTAAAAATTAATTAATATTATGTAATAATAATGATAAATCCCTGTAAAGCACATTAAGCGAAATGTCAAAATGTAACATTCATTTATATTTATCGATAAAGACAGACTAAAATAATCGATATGATCAGCTGGTGTTTTCATATGTCAAGCACGCAGCTATCAACTGAAGGTGGCTTTGAGTGGGGAGTTATTACGAGAGCGGAGTAAATGTTCAGTTAATTTATTTTGATAACCAATAAAGTTAATTATTCAATTACATATATTTGCAAAAACACATTTTATTGAAAATATTTGTGACGAAATCAACCATTAAGCACTGTACATTAGGACATTTTTCGCACATGTAATCAGGTAATGTAGGTAAATGTATTCAATTTTATATTCGTAAATGTATATAAAAATATTAAACATAGAACCAGCATGGTATTTTACACTCGATTCGCTTTGCATTTAAAAAGGAACTCTCAAGCGGCATTGTTGGCATGGAAATATCAATGTAACTCAATTATAGCCCAACGTTCACGTCGTGTGCAACAAATCATCACTTTTTATCATCGTGTTTATGGATCACAAGCTCTTAAACTTATTATAGAATCATATCAAAAAAGATTAAAATCACATCTTGAAAGGAAATTTTTAGTATGTGCTATTGGTTTGAGTGCTGCTGTTTCTGGACGTAATGGTGATTGGAGATGCGATCGAATAAGCATAAGAAATTTTGATAACTGCTCCAGAGATATTGAATTTATTCAAAAACTGCAACACAATAAATTATGTGCAAAATGTCGAGAACGACAAATGAAATATTGTTATTGTCATATAAACAACAAAGAGTGCAATGAGACAACAAACACAAAATTGACTATAAGTAATTGGCGATCCCTAAATAATAACAAATGGGGTATGGAAGATGGTTTAGTTATGATTGAGGAGGCAAATCAGAATCCTTGGGAGCCTTATTTGAGTAAAAATGAATTTTCAATTTGGCGACGAGAAGAGTCTTCACTCAGATATGCTTACAAGGTATATGCAAGTTTTGATGATATTACAGCCATTGATTTGTTACATGTCCAAACTGACGTTAACTATAGAAAAGAATGGGATGAAACTGCTGTAAGACTCGAAATCATTGAAGAGGATCCTGAACCTTGCACGAACTCACATCTTATATATTGGGAAATGCAATGGCCCCGTTTCTTTGCCAATCGTGATTATGTATACAGTCGTAGATATATTATAGACGACGAACATAAACTTATCATGATATGTAGTCGCGGTATTACTCATCCAAATTTTCCTGTGTCAGATGAAAAAGTACGTGTTGATAACTATTGGAGTTACATGGTTATATCTCCATTTGGAAAATTTAATGAACCAGGAGTACATTTCGTATTGACATACTATGACGATCCTGGAGTTGCACTGCCAGAGAAAATTAAATCTTGGGTGACACAACAACAAATGCCAGACTTTTTGCGTAGAATGTATGAAGCAACAAAAAACTATTCAGAAAAGCGGACCTTAAAAATGAATAGATTACGCAATAGAGGAGAGTTAAGCTTAACAGCTGTCCCATACAGTGCCAATGTGGTAAATTCGAATTTTTTATGGCGCATTGGAAATGAAAAATCTAATGAAAAATAAGTTTTGTTATAATTTTATTTGAATATCTTTTAGTTTTCATATTGGAAATGGAATAAGAAATTTATTTATATTTTTATTTTTGTAACCAGTTTTATATTAATTAAAATTTAAAAAGAAAAAACATAATTTAATTGTGCTAAATAAAAAACAATGTAGACCTTGTAGTAATTATTTATTCAAAACAAATAATAAATCAAGTGCAATGTTATTGTTAATTATATTTATTTAATTATTTCTTTACTATTCAAGTTTTCAATTAAATATGAATTTCATATATTTTAAATGAAATAAAATTTGGATTTATTAAATAATGCATTTTATTTTAATAGAATAATAGTTGATTTAACCTAAGTTACAGAAATTCAGGTTATATTTTGAACATATTCCACGTACTTATTCTTCAGAATGTTAAAAACTTAGTATTATATGTTAAAGGATTGTTAAGAGCGAACCAGTAGCGTCTAAGTTTCAAATATATGACAACATTAAAAACGAATAAAATAGATTAACAGAGCCTATCATCGTCGTCTTCAAACAAAACGTATCCAATTCGAGATAACAAATCTCTCAATAGATTTCCGCCTAATATCCCCTGGGAGAGAAGACGCCTCCCACGTGCGGCAAGAACTGTCTTAACTCATCAATTGAGATATAACAGTTAACATTATCATGTGCTAAACAATTTCTTATTACGGATAAGTGTTTCACTTCTCAATGTGTGCAGCTCTAGTCCATCATGATGTTGCCCATTTGTTTTTTTTATTCCAGTGCACACACTAACTTGAGTCCAATGGATGTTTGAAACAGCTTTATGGAAAGATTTATAGTTTTCATTAAATTTTAATGCAGTTGGATATTTATTGTATAAGGAAACGATATTGTAAATTATTTTACTATAATTTCACAATAGTATGCCGAATTTCAATAGTTTATGACGTTATCTCACAATGTACTTAGTTAAAATTAATATCATAACTTATAACTATTCCAATATGTTAGATGTAGTAGGTTTCGCCAACTCTAAGTGTTAGGCTGATAAATATAAGATATATATATGTTTAAGAAGTACTATAAGAAAATTGATATTTCCAATTATGTATGTATTATAATTATTACTTAATTATGAGTATGAAGTATACTCATCGTAGTATAACATGATGTATTGAGACCACATTACTAGTAAGAGGTCAGAGTTTTAGGGATTGAGACGTCAGGCGGTAGGTTATACAATCGGTTGAAGTACTACCGGGGGAGCGTCAGGAGGTACTCGTCGATACAAGTAATCTGAGGTTTCTTGTACAGGACACATCTTGCCATCATGCTTGAACTTAAAGTTAATCGTAGCTGTAATCTTAATATTGTAAAATTTAGTCAGTAATTTTGATCTAAATATATCGTTTAGTATATTAGTGTTTAGCATTTAATATATGTAAATATATTGTTTAAAAATAAGTAAATAAATACAATTTATTAAATATATAGAATTTATTAAATGAATATAATTTATTAAATAAATATAATTTATTATTTATTATTTAATAAATAAATATAGTTTATGAAATAAATAAATATAATTTATAAAATATAAATATATTTTTGTGCTTTTTAAACAAATATTTTCAACAAATTTCACAAAAAGTAATTTATTTCATTAATTGATTATTATTGTTTTTTTTATTATTTGTTATATATATTTTATTATTCTTCGTCGTTTATATTGTATTATTGTTGTATTATAAACATCAATAATTTATAGTAGTCTGAAGTTGACTATATTTGATTTTGACTATTTTTTAATTATTCGTTATATATATTTTATTATTATTATTTTATTATTCTTCACTTCGTATGTATTGTATTACTGCTGTATTATAAACATCAATGGTCTATTGTAGTCTGAAGATATTTATTTACAGGTTTGATTTAAACATTTGACCAATTACCCAGCTTAAAAATGTATTGATTGATAAAGTTAAAACAGTTTATACACAAATTATAAATTCTTAATTTACTAATTTTTCTAATTTTAAATCTAATAATCTTCTAATTTGAAAAGTAATTTGTATAAATGTGGACAAATCTAACTTACAATCCACATATTCACAATAGGAATTGTATTTACATAAAAATTATGGTGAACATTAAAAACTATCGTTCGTCACATAGTAGATGAAGTCAAAGGCAAGAAACAGTTGATAATATCAATTCAAGGTGAATGTGTCGAACGCTACGCGGTGAAAAAAACAAAAATCTGTTTAAAACAAAAAAGAACAAAAATAAAGTGTAAGTGAAAAGCCGGTTAGTATATTAATTTGTTATTTAAAAAGTATGTTCTATTATTGGGATAATAATATTGTATGAGCTTTTTTCTGAAATTTTACAAATTTAACTTAGAATACATATTAAATGTATAACAATTTTACAAAAACCATGGAAACGATTTTATTTTAATAGTGTACTAAAAAAATGCAATACAAACATATTTGGATTCAGTTTTGTAATGCCAACGTGTAACTATAACTATATTATTGAAAATAAATTAAGTATTATTAGAACAATTTAAATATAATTTACATTGAAGTACTAACTTGTGTATATATGTTTGCAAAGATTTACATGAAAACTTAGAAGAGAGCACTATGACAAATATGATCTCTACTGCGTATCTGATCTGAGCTGATCTTAAGTAAAAAGAAATGTTCTAATTAGAATGTTTAAATATTTTAAATTTTATAGTTTGATTTGTTTTTGTTTGCAAATAATGTTATTATATTTTACTGGCTTAAAAGTGTGATAATAATTTTTAACGTAAAATATAACGATAGTTAGTTTCTAGAAAAATCTTACATATTATACTTCCATAAAATTTTATTGTGCATTTTATTTTCCCTATCTTTCTTTTCTCCACCAACCGACTGTAGTCAAACAACTTTATGAGACTAAATTGAGTTTGCACGAGCCAGATGTGTTTGTGTATACACGTACATATTTATTTAGACTGCAAGAGCAGCAAATAAGCAAACAAATAATAGATTTGTTTTAAAAAAAAAAAACACATTTTCTTTTTTTTTAATATATTGTATATATGTATGTAAATAGTTAATGAAGAAAGTTTAGTATAAGCATAAATGATTTTTCTTAATTAACACTGAAGTTGTTAAGAATTGTAAAAAGTTTCATGCTAAACCCAACTAAATTGCTTAACTAACTAACTACTATTTATGATTTCTTCAAAGATTTATGCAAAAGCTAAAAACTAACAATAGGAAACTAGTACAAATGTCAGTGCACTTTATTGTGCATAGAAAACATAAATGCACATCAATGTGCATACATGCATATAAATCTGCATACATACGAATGGGTATGTGTAGGTAGTGTCATTTTAGCGTTTAATACGATTTAACCGGTTGTTTGACAGTAGAAACCTTGGTTTCGGTTATTTACATAAGAACTTAAAGAAGCACATGTATGCATCTCCAGTTACAAGAAAAAATAAAAGTTTTGATAAAAATCAATAAATAAACAAAAGTTTGTCTGTTTTAATATTACTAAGGCAATTGTTTATTAAATAACAAATTTTCTTATTACCTTATTACCTAAGCTATTTTCCCACACCCCTCCTTGCTATTTTAGAAAAATGAGACATATTTAATTTTTATTATATTTACTCTGTAATTCAACAATACATACACAAAATTATATAAACAATAGAACTAAAGTGTTTGCGTTTCTGGCTTTTTATTGTTTTTTATTACATTATTTTTTTGCTTAGGTTACACTCATCTTGACATAATTAAAAAATGTGTACATACACATATGATACAGAATTTGCTTATCACGGATAAAAATTCTGTGCCTGTGGTCACGTTTTTTTTTTTGTTTCACTTATTGCCCTTTTTCCAACTCATACTCATGCCACCCTACAATTGTGCAATCCAAATGATCATTAACATAGTGTATGCCTCACCTCATTTTACTTTTCATTGTAATTCCTTTTCACATGCTTCGTTATCTCTTATCAAGTAAATTTGTTTTGCTTTGCTTTGCGTTTGTTTTTGTTTTTGTTTTTATTTTTGTTATAAAATCCGTTGAGGAAAGCAAAATATAATAAAAACAAATGAGGGCAAAAGCTACAACCGAACTAAAACAGATGCCGGGAGGAAATATTATATTAGATATCATACCATTTGTATTACTTTCGTGTTGTTCGGACGGTAAACATCTAAATTCCAATAGCGGCGAGTCTTATATAAAAAACAAAAACAAGAGCAAGAACACAAAATATAAAAAATAAAGAGTAAAATTTAAGAAACAATAAATAAATTTGTATTTCTTGCAGAAAATATAGAAAGAACCGCGTGTTTGTTTTGTGTAAAAATATAAACGTAAGTGCGTAGAATATTGCGTAAGAATATTTTAAAATTATTAAATTAATAATTTTTTATTACAATATTTGTTAATTAATATAATATACACAATTGAGTAATAATTGCGTCCCCTAATTGGTGTTTAAGACAAAAAAGAGAAATGGTTAAAGATAAATAAAATAACTACCCTCTTGTGAAATAAACGCTCATCCATTAGATGCAGGAACTTGGCAATCCTAATAAAAATTATGCAATAATGACACTTCTTCCGGTACTCACTCCATTAATACGATGTTATGTGTGTAATATAAAATCATGCAAAAATAAATAAATTTTAATTAAATCTAAAATGACAGTAATTTTACATACATTTTTTAATTTTTTAAAATGTTGTTATCATGTGATGACTGCCTGCAGGGAGAGTTTTTATAGTGAAGGCGAAGCTATCTGTAATTGCTTTGCGTTCAAGATAATTATCTATCATATAGATAATATGGATAAGAGACAAATGAATATGCCAATTATTGACGTAGATCAAGACAGTCTTCGCCAAAAATTTGATAGCCTTGTGAGTCACTTGGCAATGTACCAGGCAGGCAGTTAAAGGATAAATAGGGTTATGAGCTTGTGTGGATTTATTCTGGGAGAGGTTTAAAAGAAAAAGATTTATACCAGGTTTCTTTAAAACGGAAGAAATAAGGTAGAGAATGTCTTGTTTTTCTTGAGTTATAATTAGCAATGGAGCCCGGCCTGGCATTTTTTTATCAACTTTCGCATTAACAATGTTACCAAGATGACCGATGTATTCAACTCATCCACATGAGTTGAATTTTGTGACTGTAATAAGAAGGCACCGGTTCTTTGTTATTAAAGGACTGTTGTTTGGGCAATTTTTAATTGCATTTTTGGCAGAGCGTCTATTTAAACATATGTATATGTCATGTATTTGCTATTGACTGTGAAGGCATAGGTTAAAGCTTGGAGTATGGGTGCAGCTACTGCTGTGAGGGATGGGCAGAAGCGCTCAATAAGAGCTGTGGAAATTATTTTTTTGGGAAGTAGTTACTACGAATGTAGTACCCAAGTTTGATTGAGAACATATGACAGTTAGTATACTTTGTCAATTATATTAGTTGTCAACTTTCTAGGGATTTTGTTGTATAGATTAATTGTTTAATTACGTTGATGAAAAATGTATAATTTTGGTAATTGAGATAGAATTGATAATTGACATATTATATGATATGATATAATCAATATATAAAATTTCGAATATCTTTAGGGAGTTTTAAATATAATTTCAAGGGTGATGTTTTGAAATCAACCTAAAGTTTTGTAGCTCATAAAAAGAGTGACTGTTTTACTAAAAGCGACACTACGATAAAGCAAAAATGCCTTGAAGACTTACTTTTACAAGTATATGAAGCATTTTCCTCTACTTTCATAAAATAATCTATTATTACAGCAATTTTATAAGATAATTTTTTATTAACTTAGCTTATAAATAGTTTACATAAGCCTATAATAGTAAATATTATATTTTAATTTGGTTTATAAGTAATATTATTAAAAAGTGGTAGTACATTCAATAGATGTCTAAATCATTTTCGATGTATAATATTTTTGGGAATTAAACACTTCAAAGAATATCGGTATGCATCCTTAAACTTCAATTATATTTTCGATATTTATTTAAAGTTCGATCAATCAATTTTGTCTTCGAAATCAATTAGAGAATATATGTTACAATTTTTCCATTAATTTTTTAAATTCGTTGTACCCTTTAATAATTCTTATATATAGTATTAATTAAAGTTACAAAAATTTTTGTTTTAAACACTGCTTTTCCATCATTTGGAATATATTTTGAAATAACATTTTAATATATTTAAAATATATTATGATATTGTATATAAAATATATATATAATATTATATATATAAATATAATGTATAATGATTCCATTAATCTGAATAAAAAACTTTGACGTGGTTTTTTATTTTTTTAATGTTTTCACATAGTTATTATCTATATAGGTAATAAACGCTTATCACAAAAGCCTTTAGAAACTCAAATAATATCAATAAATAAAGATTACTCATAACTATCTAATATTTGTAA